TTTTATTGGGACGGGTCCAGACCCGGGCCCGGCCCGGCCCAGCCCGTCGGGTCATGGACCCGGCACGGACCTAAGTTGTGCCGGTTCAGGGTCAACCAAACCCAACCATTCGGCCCGACGGGCCGGGCCGGGTCGTGACCCGGCCCGAATTTTGGTCATGTCTAATTGGAACGCACAATATCGATAATTGAAATGCACAAATAATCGAAGTGAAATACGAAATTTCGAACCGAAAGTTTTATTTTTTGTGGATTTATTGTTGTTCAGTCGACAGTCATTAATGTGCAATTTGTCTTATACTATTGTGCATGTTTATGTCGTTAGTGCGCAGTTTGAACCGATAGAAATTTTTGTCACAAACCAAATTGAACCCGATCCGCCTTGATTTATTCGGTCGACTAACTAAATTACCTTAATTAAAATAATGTATTTTTTATATTAAAAATAAAATTAATATTTTAATAATTTAATTTAATATTTTTATATTATTATTGATTGAAAATCACAATATTCACAATACCGAAATCGATAACGTGCACTCTCATATACACAAATGTGCATTTAATATGGTCACTTAGTCCCGCCAGGCATAGCCCTTCGCATCGCTGCAATACTTCATCCTTCGTGCATTGCGAGGCTGGATAACATGTACTAGGGGCTGTCGAAAAATGGCAGCTTCTCGACGAAGTCGGCATATGATGCGCTGGTCAATGGTCCTTCGACGACTGTGATTGATCGGTTTTCGTGGCGAATAATCTAGAAAAGGTCTAAACCGCAATGGATTCGACAGTTCCTCTGGCTCGCCGCTCATGAGAAGCTGCTCACTAATGTAGAACGAAGGAGGCGGCACATTTCAGACTCGCCGATTTGCACATTATGTAGCCGTTATGAAGAGTCGATCTTGCATTGCCTCCGTGATTGTACTGGAGCCCGGCAGATCTGGCGTCTCTTGATCCCGGTCCGTCAACAAGCCGAATTCTTTCGCTTACCTCTGAGGGCCTGGTTGCTCCAAAACTTATAGAATGGATTGGGTATTGATGTTGTCGGTTGGGAGATTCTCTTTGGGGTAACAGCATGGCATATTTGGCGAGGGAGAAACGAGAAGGTTTTCGCTGAAAAAAATTTTGTTGTCGACCAAAAAATCCAGGAAGCATGGTCCGTTGCCCTCGGCATTCGTACAGCCATCTCGTCCGAGGTAAATTTGAGGAGCCTAGGCGTTGAGCGTGGCGTGCGACTCATCCGTTGGGAAGCTCCTGTGGACGGCACTTTCAAAGTTAACACGGACGGGTGCTTTATTTCTACTTCCGGGATGGCCACAGCAGGTGGCTTAGTTCGGGACGCTGGGGGCCGCTGGATTGGTGTCTTTACGATGAACATCGGTTACTGTTTGATTACTAGGGCAGAGCTATGGGGCCTCTTCCAAGGGTTGCTCCTCGCCTGGGACTTGGGGTGTCGTAAAGTTATTGTCGAGGTAGATAATTAAAGTGTGGTGGGCTTAGCAAATGGGGACTCTTCGGATCTTGGAGTGCATGGTACCTTGGTTCGGGCTATTCGGAAATTGCTATCCCGAGATTGGGAAGTCACGGTGACCCATTGTTTCCGAGAAGCTAACTTTGCGGCTGACAGCTTGGCGGCTCTCGGCCATTGAGGTTGTTGATAAACGGATTTGTATCAACGAAAATATACACCCCTATTCTGGGAATAATCGGTGTTGGATAAATATGCAATTTCATTAGATGTTTAGAAGATGAAGATCCCCTAATTTTTCTTCATTTTGTGTGTTGTAGAAGATGGAGGAATCGTCTCTCCCCCCTTTTCTCTCTCATCCCAATACATTTATATACAAGGCTCACTTCACAAGTGGGCTATTAAAAAAATAGATAAAAAGGGACAAGAGTATTTAATGTGAAATGACATCGTGGGGCCCGATCGTGACACTTGACGGCTTCGAATGACGCCTACTCTATCGGCAATCATGGCGTCTACCGGAAATGGATCTTCTCGGTATTCAGGTCGGGCTGGCGATATTTAATTCTGCTCGACTCGAACGTGGGCGATCTGGACACTTGGGGAACTCGGTTAAATAATCAGCTCGGATAACCTGCTATATTTATATTTATTTAATATATATCCACGTGTCGTCTTTAATTAATAGAGGCCAAATTGTGTATCAACAAGAGGCCCCCGACTTTAGGACATGTTCTGAACAGAACTGTTCTGAAGTCGCGTTTTAATACGATTTGGCAGACTTGTGCTATAATTTTCGAGCTTGAGGCTTTTTATGCTGAGATAGATAGCATTCACGCAATACATAAGATTATAATACCATGTCTTTTTTTCTTATAGAGATCATCGGATGAACACATTTCGATATATAATTTCTGGGTGCTTTGGGACCCTCAATCATCATGTTAATCGTTCTCAGGCATGGGCCTGCCGTCTTGTATTTTAGTTGCGTTTTATGCTCTTGGATGAGCTAAGTCGGTGAAATGAATGGACAATTCTTCGGAATTGCTATTGAATGGGCCTAAGGGGCCTAGTCGGGTAATTTGGTACCCATATCATGTTTTGCGCGCGGTATTAAACGTTCGATTGATCTGCTCTTGTGTTGATGATAACGATATGGAATTGTGTGGGCATTCGGGCCCCGTGAGTTGTAATTGATGTACGCGAAGACGTTTGACGATATGATTCGTTTAACGATTTTAAGTTAACCGTATTATAGTATTCGTTGTTTTGTCGTATTGAGATGACGCGATTTTTTGATTTTTGTGGTTGTTTTTCGCGTAAGGTGGACTTGGTCGGATTATTCGGTATCCGATCTTTAGTCTTATTTTTACTTGGTTATTGATTGTTTTTATGATTGGCCCTATTGGGCCTTTGTAGTTTTAGGGCATTTCGGCTGTACCAAATCAACTTCAGGATTTGGCGTAAGAAGGAGTGTTTGTCATACCAAATCAACTTCAGGATTTGGTGTAAGAATGGGCACAAGTCGTCTCGGCCGGAGTCGGGCTCAACGGCGAGGGAATATAGACGTCGACTCAGCCGGAGTCGAAACTCTACGGCGAGAAAATGTGGGCGTCGACTCAGCCGGAGTCGATGCTCGACGGCGAGAAAATATGGACGTCGGCTCAGCCAGAGTCGGTGCTCGACGGCGAGAAAATATGGACGTCGGTCAGCCGGAGTCGGTGCTCGACGGCGAGAAAATATGGACGTCGGCTCAGCCGGAGTCGGAGCTCTACGGCGAGAAAATATGGACGTCGGCTCAGCCGGAGTCGGAGCTCTACGGCGAGAAAA